TGTTTTGGTGGATCATGCTTTTTTGGGACTTCATCATGGACATTGATCTTGCTTAGCTTCAATCTTAATCATTGTTTCATGGTAAGTTCAGCTAAGCTAGGAATTAAGACTAGGTATTTTATCTTCATCCAATCTCTTCAAAATTATTTTGCAAAAGTCCACTTGAATCACACCTCTTTGAAAAGATAAATAAAAGAGTCATTCTTATACCAAAACTCTTTTAGCCGAATGCTTTTAGAGTCTATGCTTGCTTGAATCTCTTCATTTATCACATGTGTACAATATCTCCTACTGAAATTGATATAGCCAAAAGTGGGAGTTCTTATGCCAATAAAATTCTTTTTTGGCTGAATGGATCAAGTAGTTGTAAAACCAATAAGGTTCGACCAAACATCCTCATTGTATGGCCGAATATTCTTTGCATTTGTGATGGCATGAATTTGCATGGATTCCATGTTCTAAAAGACTTCAACCCTAAAAGTCAAGAATTCATCATTAACAATAATAAATTCAAACAAATTTAAAAAATTTTAAAGCAAAAAAGACTTGTCAAACACTATATATTTAAGTGTTATCACCCTATATTTAGGCTAGATCTCAAAGATTACATTTATTTAACATGTCATCTTATTTTTTAAAAACATTTTTCTTATGAAAACTTATTTTTGAAAATCATATGCATGATATGTGTGATCATAATAACAATGATGAATGCATAATGGGTAAACATGAATGACAAGATATGAACGCATGGTAATTTAAGAATGCATATAATAATAAAGTAAAATAAGATGCAAATGCATGAATAGGGTCAAAGTTTGGTTTTAGGATTTAGGAAATTAGTTTAGGTTTTTAAGGTTTAGGATAGTTTTAGGGTTTAGTTTAGGGTTTGAAAATTCGGTTTAAGTTTGGGTTTGGATTTAGATTTTAGGGTTTGGGCCTTTGGGTTATAAGGTTTGGGGTTTTGATTTAGATGGTGGTTAAGGGTTTTATGGGAAATGCATGTGACAAAAATAAATAACAAGAATGCTATTGGTAAGAATGAAAATATTGATACATGGGTGCAATGTGACAAAAATTACCAAAATGCCATTAATAAAAATACAAACTTTAATGCATGGACCATGTATGAAAACAAACATATTGCAAACTAAGGCATATTACAAATATATTACAAACTTAACATGCATGTAACAAAAAGGTAAAAATGGATCAAAATAAAGAGTTTTAAAAATTTGAAGACATATTCCATTTTTTTTTTAAATTCATACAAACAAACTAAAATCACTAAAAGTCCACTAATTTAGCATTTTTATTCATTAAAAATTTGATCAAACACATAGACAACTTGAAGAACAAAGCAAGAACAAAAGCAAATAAGAAAAAAACAACATTTAGCCACCAAGCTAGGAGGTTCAACCAAGCATGGGAATGGCTTGGCCAAATGCCTCAATTGTAAATCCCCAATCATACATCCTTTGATTTGATCAAAGCATGCATCAATCATTTATAAAATCATCATATGAAGGCATTTATATCATGAGAGATATTTTATCAAACATGTCATGAACTAAATAGTAAGAAAACCATGGAACCAAATATATATAGCCAAATAACATAGACAAACCACTAAACTAACAAACATTCATGCATTAAACAGATAAAATAGCATTCAAATCATTCACAAACATTATTAGAAGCAAAAAAACAATAAAGAATGGCTAAGAGGAGGTTTAGCCATGGAGGATGGGAGCTTGGCAAAACCTTCTAAATGGCAAACTATGGTGGATTGTGTTTTTTTTTTTTTTTTGGTTGCTTGATCTTTTTAGTTTCAATCCAAACTATTATTTAGTTGGATGAAATCTTGATCTAAGCTTGGATAAAAAGAGATGAAAAACTATAAAGTTCTCAAGAAATAGAAAATCAAAGGCTAAATGCCATGAAAAACATAGTAAGTGTTGTTGAATGTTTATGAAAATACAAAGGAAAAAGGTAGAAGAATTCACCAAAAAAATTTTCGTTTTTCTTTTCTCAACTGTGTTTCACGGCCCCCAGTTACTACCTCTCATTTTTTTCTTCCTGTGCTTAATGAAGAATAAATAAGTCATTCAAAATTCATGTAACCGTTAGATTGATTTTTCATCTAATGGCTAACATTTCTCCCTTGTTTTCTTTGCAATGAGCCAATTTTCACCATTGGATCTAGCCCTTCAAGATCATTCCACAATTAAAAATGCTCATGTCTAAAATTTGCATTTTTAATGCTACTAGACTAAGTGAAAAGATCATTTTACCCTTAATTAGAAAGTTTTTGATTTTCATGCAATTTTCTTGGAGAATTTTGATCCCTTATTCATTTTTATGATTTTAAAGTACCAAAAATCTTCAAAGGAAAAATCGACTTCAGAAAAATCAAATTATAAAAATCTCAAATGAACATTTTAGTAATTTTATGCCTTTCGAAAGACGATCAAGGTTTTTAATACCCCAAAAATTATGAAATAAAAAAAAATCATGATTTGGAGCTTTTTGTGAAAATCCAACATCGGGAATGTTAAATTACAAAAATACTCCTAATGGTATTTTAGTAATTTTACACCTTTCTAGGTACAATCAAGATTTTTATTACATCAAAAATCATAAAATAATATTTAATCATGATCTGAAAATTTTTACGAAAATCTGACTTAAAAAAAATTAAATTATGAAAATATTTTTGAAAGGTATTTCGGTAATTTGCCTTAGCAAAAGTGCAATCAAGAATTTTAGTGCTTTAGGGCTATAAATCTCAGTTTTAAGCCATATTGATTCTAAATGATTGTGAATTTTAAAAATTGACCTAAGTTCTATATGAATTAACTAATTTTGATCAATTTTGACAAAATTTGATTTTGGAGCATTTGAATCAAACTAGTGCAATTTTTAATTTAAAAATTTGTTAAAATTAAAGAAATGCTATATTTAAACCGAGTTAGATTTTAAGAGTTTTATAATTAATCAGATTCTATCTGCACAAAATTAAATATCTACTCTAACCAAAATTTATTTAAGCCTTGCTCAATTTGTTTTCAAGTCAATTTTCAGTTTGTTAAAGTTTTTCTTTCAATTTTATAAAGTAGTCAATTCAAGTTTTCTTATACAGTCCATTTTTACTTCAATTTCTTACAAGCAAGCTTTCATTTCGGTTTACTTACTTTGATCTTACTTTTGCGAAATTTCAAACCTTTGGCTTTCTTTCAACGATTAAAAATTCTTACGGCAATAAGATTAAAAATAATAGTAACAATGAAATTATTAATTATATTGATAAGATTAAAATTTATAATTATGAAATTAAAATCAACAATGAAATAGTATTTGTTTAGTATAAATAGTCTTAATGATACGATGAGAAAAGAAAATGACGACGGTAAATATTAGATTAAATTTTTATACTATAAACTGGCATTTTACCTGTCGAGAAGATATCCGGATGGAACTTTCAATGCTTAATTGGTGTTGGGAGTGGCCAAACCTAGCCATCAAGCGCGATAAAGGCCCTTGGCCTTCCCACACAATCCATCAAGCCTGATCGCTCGAGCAGCTTCATCCATCGACTCCAGTTGTGAAGTGAAAGAAAAAAGGATAGAGCAAAAACAACTCAAATAAAATTATATTTTTCTTTTCAAAACAGTTAAATATAGTAATATAAATATAAATTAAATATATTTTTGTCAAAATTTTTTAAATTTAAATATATTTTATTTAAGAATAACATAATTTTAACTATTCAAAAAAAAATCATCCTACCTATTATTAATCTTATATATACCAAATATAGCATATCATAACATTATCGTATCTTACTTTTAACCTTTACATAAGAAAATAAGATGAAAGAAGATGATAATCTAATCCTATCTACTTTCTTATTTTATTCTATCATATTTATCATCTTAGGCATAAAATGTAGAAAATATATTGATAAGGATTAAGGGACAAAACTTACTTGACGTTTTTTAGCTGAATTTTATGAAACTTCTTTTTAAAAATGATTTAATAAAAATTTTAATAAAAAAACCCAAATCAGTAGATTAATAAAATTCAATGTGAAAATATCAATATTATGTTAAAAAAATTATTTAAAATTTTGTTTACAATTCAGATTTGATTAATACTTATTTAACAATAAAAATTGTGATATTTTTACTAAAAATATCTATCTAAAAATATATCGAAATTTATTAAAATTTTATCAAATTTTACAGATATGATCTATTAACAAGACTTTTCAATCTATCAATTTTAATTTTTTATTTTAATTTTTATTTAATCGTTTCTGATAAGGAATTTTGCAAATTTCACCTAAAGAATTTCATCTAAAATTCTTTCATGTTAAAGAGGCCAAAAACAGAACATTTTATCCCAATTCAATTTTATTATTTCCATTCCTTTAGTGATATCGAAATTTATTAAAATTTTTACAAATTTTGCATACATGATTTATGAACAAAACTTTTTAATTTATCGATTTTAATTTTTATTTTAACTTTTATTTAATCATTTCTAATAAAATATTTTACCAACTTCATCTAAAAAAAATTCATTTAAATATTTCTGATGAAGGAGAGGCAAAAAAACAAATCATGTTATCCCAATTCAATTTGTTATTTCCATTTCTTCAGCAACTAAATTGTCAATGGAGACCATGAGAGTCAGATCAACTATCCCTTTGAAAGCCAAATGTAACTACATTTCCATGCAAACAAGAGCTCCACCATAATCACTTGTCAAAATACCACTCAAACCTTCTCATTTAGAGGAGAAAAGTCCAAATCAAAAGTGAAAGAATGAAGGCATGAATTCTAGGACCTAGGAAGAAAGGCAAATGTAAGCCCAAACAAAATTGGTAGCCTCCCTCACAAGGGAGGGAACTTAACCATAAGAACTTCTGAAGCATAATTCGAAAGAAGAAATTGAACCACATGACAAATGCTGAAGACTGTCAAGGCCAAGAATAGTTTATAAAAGATAAATTGAAATTAAGCATGAAGCAGGCAGTGAAAGTTTAAAGTATATATATCATACAACTAATACATAAAGCTTATATATCATGCAACTAATACATACATTGCAATGTTAAAAGCAGTCCAATGCAGACCACCTTTCTAAATTTTCTACCTTTTTTTTTCTTCTTTCTGCGTCTTTCTTTTGTTATACACATCAGGGCAACTATGAACCCTTATCATCAATAATCATATGAATGTACACTTCTTTGGGTTTACCAGAAAATATCATCTACTGTTGAGGTGGATGGGCCATATTCCTCTTCCTCCATCTCCACCTGCAGCTCAGGCTTTCCAGATCCAAATTCAGGTGACTCTATATCAGCAAGGTTCTTCAGATCAACAATAGAAAGGTCGTCTAAACGGTTTATCACCAAGTCTGCAGCCCCAAGCTCATACACTGGATGCTTGCTAGCAACAGCCACACACTTCATCTGTGCATCATGGGCAGCTTCAACCGTCTGATTAGAGTTCCCAAACACAATGCAGCGCTCCGGTATAAATTTCAGAAGCTGTGCAGCATAGACAAACATTTCTGGATCTGGTTTCCCTCGATGAACATCCTCTGCTGCTATGATGACACTGAAAAACCCTTCAATCCCAATGGCTCGAATTGCAGTCTCGAGAACTTTTCTTGGTCGGGTAGAAACCAATGCAATTGGTATCTTGTAACGTGTCAAGGCATTTACAAACTCTTGGGAACCATCACGTAATCTATATATCCCACCTTGCAAAGCCTGGTAAATTTCTTCCTTCCTTGCAGCCATTCTTCTCAACTGTGCTGGTTCTCTTGACCAGCACAAAACTTCAGAAATTGCTTGCTCATTCTTCATCCCTTCTATTCTACGGAGAATAAACACAGGAGGAGGAGACTTTCCTTCTTCCTCTGCAAGAGCCAGCCAGACTTGCTTCTCAAGCAGAGGATTATCTTCAATTATAACTCCTTCCCACTCAAATAAAGCACCAAACCAACCACAACCCATCCTCTCTTGTCGAAGTAAGGGATTGCGTAACAAAGGATTATCAGCTCTGTTCTCTGGTGGCCATAAGCCAGGCTTTCGATCTACACCAGTATCAATCTGATAATTCCAATCCCTTGGTGTTCTTTCTTCATCTCTATATGCATGAACCTCTTTTGTCAGCTCCATCGCAAGAGCCTTAATGGACGAATTAATTAACCTTTCAACTCTCAATCTTGGTAAAGGAGACACAACAATCCTTTTACCAATAAATTCTGTGGACGGAAACCAGCAGTTACTCAAAGATTTCGGTTTGCAGGAGACATCCTTAATGGAAATACTTCCACAAAACGGCGGGTGACCCAGAAGTGATGTTGTCGCAATTGACTCCAGCAGCACCATGTTTACCAAAGCAATAATATCTACAACCCAAAGCTATATTCTATTTTAATAAGCTTCTATATACGCCGAGTACAAAGCCACACCAATATGAACAAAAACTATTGATCTGGTGATCGAGAACCAAAACTCACACTTTGCTCAAGATACACCCACTTCTTCCATAAACCATCCAGATGGAACCTAAAACAATCAGGTCAAAAGACCAAGCCATTGTAAGAAAGCTGCATAAAGAAAATCCTAAAATGATTCTATAAAGATGCATAAAGAAAACCCTAAAATTATTCTCCATGACCACATCAAAGGTGAATGATTAATCAAATTGGAAATCCCAACCATAAAAGCATCCCTTTTAAGGAATTAAGGATAACCCAGTAACCCAAACATTCTAAAACTTCAGATTAAGCAGATGTACAACCATGAAAACCCAGAGAGAGCAAATGATATTGAAACATGAAAATTTTATCCAGAAAATACCCACCAATTATTACAACAGAAGAAAAGCTTCAGCTCAGAATACATCTAATTATAGAATAAAACATGAAAATAAAAGAATAAGCTGAGGAACCTGGGAAGGAAAGTGAAAGACTCGACGGCTGCTATTGAATCAAAGAGAGAGAGAGAGAGAGAGAGAGAGAGAAAGTGAGGGAGAACAGATTCTTCTCCTACAAATAATGTGTGAATCTCGTTTCCTTTTATTTTTATTTTTATTTTGTGTTATTGTTAAAATCCGAAAGGAGGAGATTTTTTTTTAAGAAATTTGTTGAGGGTGTGTGGCTCGTAATTTATTGAGTCGAAGGGCTGGAAGAGAAGGCCGGTGATGGCCGTAGAAGACTGTCGACGATTCAAAGTGGGATCCACAAGGTCTTGTAATTATGACTGCTACGTCTTGTTCAAAATTTGACTCTGAGCGTTTCTTTGTTTCATGAAAAATGAAATTAAAAAAATTACTTTCGTATTTTAAGATATTTATTTGATAAAAAATTGATTAATCAATGAAAACTAATTTATTGATTAATAAAAAATAAAATTATTTTTTAAAAAAATTATCTTATAAATTAAAATAATACTATATAAAAATAATATTATAATATATTCATAAATAATATTATATTAATAAATAATATAATAAATATTATTAATTTAATTTAAAATATTATAATAAATAATAATATATTATTAATAAATAATATAAAATATTATTAATAAATAATAATATGATATATTAATAAATAATATAAAATATTATTAATAAATAATAATATGATATATTAATAAATAATATAAAATAATAAATAATTTTATTTTAAGTATTTTTATTAATATAATATGAAATATTAAATATTATTATTTAAATATAATTACTTTTGAATATTAATAATTTTAATAATAAATAATTTCAATATATTTTAATAATAAATAATTTTTAATATTTTAATAGATATATTAAAATATTATTTGAAAAAAATAGACTTTCAAAAGCAACCGATCAATAACAAATATTTTTTATTAATTCATCTAAATAATAAAAAATCTTATTTATTTCAATCAGTATAAATAATTTTTCAAAATTTATTTTTTAAAAACTTTTTTTACGAAACAAATTATAAGGTCTAATTGAAATAATCAATTCAATGAATTTAATTTGGTTAATTGTATATTATTAAATTAATTTCGGCCAGTCATTAAAAGTAATTTTTAAAAAATTTTAATTTTGGATTAATTTAATTTAAAAAATAAAATTAATCAAAATTTTAATAAAAATATAATAAATTTAAATATAAAATTAAAAATACGTGAACTAAATTATTCTATTTTAAAAAATATTAGAGTTTTTATTTTAAAATTTTAAAATTTTGTTAAATAATTTTATTTAATTTATTTTAAATAAAAAATTTTAAATTTTAAAATTTAATTTAATTTAAATCTATTTATCATTTCATTAATTAAAAAAAATCTAATCAATCAAATTTTAATCATTAATTTTTAAAATTAATATATTTAATTCGATTAATAAAAATAAAATAAAATAATTTAATAAATTTAATTTTAAATAATTCAACTTATAATTTACCAAGCAAACGAGTAAACATGAATGAACCATATCATTTCAGCCAACGCTTAACAATCATAACTTCATTATTACTCTAAAAGCCCGCCCACATATTTTGAACAGTATTTTGTCCGGTTACTTTGATTTTAGTAATCATTGTGACTCTACTTTTGTTTTCTATTGAATATTGTCACGATATTTTCAATTTTGTGATTTTGAATACATAAAATATTACGAGAATATTTTACATGAAGTGGAAATGTATACGCAACGTGTTACATTGAAAAAAAATATTATTGATTTTTTGAATTTTATACTAAAATAAATGTTTTCAAATATTCGATCTAAAATAACTTCAAAACCTAATTTTAGCTTTTAAATTAAAATATCAGGTCAGAAAAAAAATTAAAAAGAGAGAAAGTAATTAATTTGATAAAGAAGTGTGACAACTGAAAATGTAACTGATTTTGGTAAAAAAAATTCACATTATTTTCACAATACCAAATTAAGTTTTTTCTCTCTTTCTTTTATTTTTGGTTGGACTTATCTTATTTTGATGAATTAAAATTAATTTTTTAAAAGTATTTTAAATCAAATATTTGAAAATATTTATTTTAGCCTATAATTTCATAAAAAATAAATAATAAATTTTTTAAAATGTTGTTTAAACATATGTATTCATAAAAAATAATTGTAACATACATGACCACTAGGTTTGTTATAAAGAACATGTTTATACAAAATGTGACATGTGGAATTAACTTTGATTATTTTGATATATTTTATGTGGCCTAAATATGTTTAGCATATTTATAATGTTATTAATTTTATATATCATGCAATTATAATTTGAAATTTTTAAATATTAAGTTTAAAATCTACTAAAGTGCACAATATTATGATATATATTTTAGAAACGCATTTCTTCATAAATATATGAAACTATATATATTGGGTATGATGATTTATGAGAAGCATCTAAATTTTATACTAATTTGTTGGAACATTGAGAGAGTTTTAATGTTAAAATGATATAATTATGTCATGATAAATAATGTATTAAATAATTATATAGTGAATTTGCTACACATAAATTGTTAAATAATCTTTTAAAATTTTTAGCTTTTACAAAATACTTACTAAATAAAGCATGGTCTCGTAAGATATTAATTATTTTATAATTATTGTATTATAATATTTTAATAGAGCAGCAAGTAAAGTTTTATGTTTTAATAAGTATATGGAGTATGTATTTGGTATCATAAAACTTAGTAAATATTATTATAAAAATATTAGGTAAGAAATAAAAAATGAGTTACGAAAGTAAAATTGTTATGAGTAAAAGTTTTAATTTATAAGAATTTACAAAAATTAGTTTTGTAATTTTCAAAGTTTTGAAAAAAATTTTATTGTTGTCAAGACTTGTTAGATTAACTTATCTTAATATTTATATCACAACTCACATTTGGTGATATTTAAAAATTTTATATTTCTAACATGAGTATTATCATAAACATGAGATTGGTTCATACCATAATTATTATGTGTATATGATTGTCTAAAAAAATATATGCTATAGAGATTTATGATATAAATATTATAAAATTTGTTAAATATCATGTAAATCTTAATTATATGCATTGACAGATATTTTTATGGCTAGCTAGTTTTTAATTTTGAAATTTATTATCGCTAAACTTGAAAGATTGAGGTACCATAATAAAATTATTATTTGTCAAGATAGTTTATTTGGTAATATGACATGCTAAGTGTTTCTATTGATTAATAGCATGATTATAGAAATGACTTAAAATTTTCAATTGATTGATAACATGATTATAGAAATGACTTGAAATTTTTTTTAAAAGTGTTTAAAATGTTAATAGGCATTCTAAATTTTAACTTTTAGTTATCCATAAAGGTAAATTTAAATTAGTATGTTACTTGGAATGATTACATGCATAAATAGACAAAAGAAAATCAATAGAACTATAATGATTATGAAATTTTTTATGTTATTATAGGATTGTTTCTAAGTTACTACATGTGATTACTTACCAAAAGAAGGTGATTTTATGTTTCTAATTTAAAAATAATTGTAAACCATTTTTGTGAAGTGAAATGATACATAGACTTGAGAAATTTGTTGCCTAATGGGTTAAATTCTTAAAAGTCTTTGTATTCACATGTAACTACTTTTAGTTAAGAACACATAAGATTTAATATGTTTTTTTAAATATTGAGTTTGCCTAAGACAAATTTGTTATAAGACACCTTGGTTATTATCAATAAGACTAATAAATGTATTGAATTAAGTAAAGTTTTATATGTTTGGATGACTAAATGACCTTTGCACTTAATTTTAGTTTACTTCAATAATTTTCATCGTAAATTAATATCTGCCATGGATGATAAGGTCTTGAATGTTTTGCAGAAAATAATAAATGCATAAATCATTAGTTACTTTACTTAATTTATCATAATTGTGGTTTACATTTGTTGTACAGTGCCTTATAATAATCAAGATGCTTAGCTTCCACATAAAAAAGTTTAAGACATATTATGATATCTGAATTTGTTTAAAGTAAAATTGAGAATTGTTGAAATATAATTTTATTTTGATGAATTTTTATTTTTGTTGTTTAACTCTCAATTAAAATATTAGTTTGATTATCTTAACTAATATTATCAAACCTATTAGTTATTTTAATTTTTTTAAAAAGGCATATTGTTGTCGTTTGTTGACATTATATTTTAGAAAAAATTGAATATTTTCTTTTAAGAAACTTACACGTGACAAGGAGAATATTATTTTATACTTATCACATGTATGAGAGTTTTGAAAATGAATTTTGACAAATAAGTATACTATTTGTTTTGTTTTTATTGGTTCAATTCCTTCCTTGATAATCCTTCTCGAATTTTATCTTGATTTATACTATGTATTTTTTTTAAACTAAACCTTTTTTTAAGATTTGGATTGAACAATATATTGAAAGTTTTAGGAAAAAATAGTATAAAACGTTTTAACTTTGTACTTTATTAAGTTAAAAACTATTCTTTAAGAGCAAGTGAAAATCAATTAAAATTCTTATGTGTATATATATATATATATATATATATTTTTTTTTAAGTAGTGAGAACTTATAAATGATAATGTATATGCCACAAAGCCAATCAATTGCACCAAATAATTATATTCTAGTGATTAAAAGGTTTTTCCTTTATCATTAGTACAAGGATAAAAGAGTTATCAAGGTGTTAATTAAATGAAACCATAGCCTTGCAAAGGAATTGTAAAGAGTTACAATTATGAGATTTTTATGCGTCAAAGTCATATACCTAAAATAGTTCCTAGTCATGTATTATTAAGATAGAACATCAACAATGCTTAGAGATTGGTAAATGTTAAGCCTCCTTACTTATAAAGTAAGTAACTAATCTTATAGGTTAAAGTATGGAGATACTTTATGATACCATATAGGTGTTTGTTCGAAAGCAAGTTAATTGAACATGAACCGCTATAAAAACTCCATTTGGTATCCCATTCAAGTGTCTATGAAAATTTTCTCATGTGTCAGTCATAAGTCCTTTGACTTAAGATGCTAGTTTATTTTGTATATGAATCATCATATTTTGATTTCACCTCTATGGTTTTGGATGCATAATGTGTAAAAATAGTACTTTTAAATATGGTTTGAAATATGCAAAGATAGATGAATGATTAAGAGAGAATCCATCATCTATGTAATATGAGAGGAAATATTTTATTTGTTTTTGGCTTTAATTGATTTATAAAGTTTTTAACCGAAGTATGTTGATGAATTTAGAAGAAAGAATTTCTTACTAAATTCATATATCTTAGCTAGAAATTGTAAGAATTAA